AGGCCGGGCGCGGTGGCTCATGCCTATAATCCCAGCACTTTGAGAGGCCAAGGTGAGTGAATTGCCTGAACCGGTGGGTTCGAGACCTGCCTGGGCAACCTGACAAGACCTCATCTCTACAATAAATCAAAAAAAATTAGCAGGGCATAGTGGCACGTGCCTATAGTTCCAGCTACTTGGAAGGCTGAGACGGAAGGATCGCCTGAGCCCAGCAGGTTGAGGCTGTGGTGGCTGTGAGCATGCCACTGCTCTCCAGCTGGGGTGACAGAGTGAGACTCCAACTCAAAAATAAGATAAAATAAAACAAAAATTCTAAATAGCCCTTCTGTGCTGTGGATTTTTTTCCATCCTAGGACAGAGTCCGTTTCAGGATAAATGAAAGGTATGCCTGTCTTTTGTAGTGTAGAAGTGCTAACATGGAAAATAAAATGGAACATTATGGCAGGAAAGAACACATATATACTCATTCCTGCATTCTCCTTGAAAAGTCTTCGGGTGTGCATATCCATTGTAAGGATTTCCAGCCAAAGTCTGTTTTGCAAGGTGTCTCCTCCAAGACCTGGGAGGTAAATTAATTCTACCTAAAGTATTCTTTCTAAAAAGCACGAATGATTTACAGAGCATTGAATGATCATGGTACCAACTAATTATCTTTAAATTTCTATATACACAAATCCCCAACATTTTAGCACTATTCCCAAACAAATCATGCTCCCAGAGAAGCTGGAGTTAAGGTATTTGTCTGTAAAATAATTTTTGAAGGTTTAAAGCAGGGGCTTAGGCCGGGTTCAGTGGCTCAGCCTGTAATCCCAGCACTTTGGGAGACCGAGGTGAGTGGATTGCCTGAGCCCGTGGGTTCAAGACCCGCCTGGGCAACTTGGAGAGACCTCATCTCTACAATCAATCAATCAATCAATAAAAATAATGCAGGGGCTTGAAAACTAAGGCCCGTTGGGCAAACCCTACCTACTGCCTGCTTTTGTAAATAAAGTTTTATTGGAACGCAGCCATTCTAATTTGTTTACATTTTGCCAACTGTTGGTTTTGCTAATGGAGTTTGTACTAATGGAGTTCAGTAGTTGTGACGGCATGTGGTCCACAAAGCCTAAAATATTTACCATCTGGCCCTTTGCAGGAAGTTTCCCGGGCCCTGTTTAGAGTGACGTGATCTAGGGATTAGTAAATATACCAGTAAATAAATTCATAATAATTTGGAAAATTTGGAAAATTCATGGAGATTGCTGATGGAAACTAATTAACCCCTAGTGAGCTAAGCTTATAACTTTATTTGTTTGTTTGTTTGTTTATTTATTTGCTTTGAGTAGAAGTCTCATTCTGTCACCCAGGCTGGAGTGCAGTGTCACACTGCCCATGGCCACCGCAGCCTCGACCTGCTGGGCTCAGGCGAGCCTTCTGCCTCTGCCTTCCAAGTAGCCAGAACTACAGGCATGCATTACCACACCCGGCTTATTTTTTGATTGTAGAGATGAGGGCTCACCCACTTGCCCAGGCTGGTCTCAAACCCCTGAGCTCCAGGCCATCCTCTTACCTTGGCCTTCCAAAGTGCCAGGATTACAGGCTGGAGCCTTATAACTTTAGATGATGAGTATTCACTCAACATTTTTTCTTCTCCTCCATTTATTTTGGAAGATTGGAGCTGCTGCCCAACCTACTGGCGTTTATTTCAGTCTAGCTGCTACTTTATTTCCACAACGAAGCAATCTTGGACAGAGAGTAGGACGAACTGCTCTGTGATGGGTGCCAACCTGGTGGTGATCAACACTGAGGATGAGCAGGTATGTTCTCATAGGCAAGGTAGCCAGCTCGCCTGTTTTTTCTCTTGGCTGAGGAAAAGTCTTTTTTTTTTTTTTTTAATTGCCCTGAAAGTTGGGAAACAGAAAAAGACTTACGGCCAAAAGAGCAGGAAATTTCCCAATCTGGAACAGTCAACAACTTTAATAAAAACAAACTGGAAAAAATTTAGGCAAACAAATAGTGAATTTGAAAAAAAAAAAAAATGAGCCGGGTTCGGTGGCTCAGCCCGTAATCCCGCGCCTTTGGGAGGCTGAGGTGAGTGAATTGCCTGAGCCCGCGGGTTCAAGTCCCTCCTGGGCAGCGAGACCTTATCCCTACAATAAATCAAAAAAAAATCAGCCGGGCGTGGTAGCGCGTGCCTGTAGTTCCGGCTACTCGGAAGGCTGAGGCAGAAGGATCGCCGGAGCCCAGCAGGTCGAGGCTGCGGTGGCTGGGAGTGGCCACTGCACTCCGGTCTGGGCGACCGAGTGAGACTCCAACTCAAAAAAACAAATGAGGCCAGGTATGATGGTCAAATCTGTAATCCCAGCACTTTGGGAGGCCAAGGCAGGAAGATCACGAGCCCAGGAGTTCGAGACCAGCCTACATAGTAAGACTTCATCTCTACAAAAAAACCAATAAATAAATTGACTGGACATGGTGGCATGCACCTGTAGTTCCAGCTACTCGGGAGGCTGATGGATCACTTGAGCCCACGAGTTGGAGGATGCAATGAGTTGTGAATGTGCCACTGCACTGCACTCCAGCCTGAGCAGCAGAGTGTGACTCTGACTCAAAAAAAAAGAGACAATATTTACCATCTAAGAAATGTCATATCAATTAGACATATTAGTCCTACTTCCTTTTTTTTTTTTTTGAGTTGGAGTCTCACTCCGTCGCCCAGACTGAAGTACAGTGACCGCTCCCGGACCCCACAGCCTTGACCTGCTGGGTTCCGGCGATCCTTCCGCCTCAGCCTTCCAAGGAGCTGGAACTACAGGCGCGCGCTACCACGCCCGGCTGATTTTTTGAGTTATTGTGGAGATGAGGTCTCGCCAAGTTGCCCAGGCGGGTCTCGAACCCGCGGGCTCAGGCCATCCACTCACCTCAGCCTCCCAAAGGCGCGGGATGACAGGCTGAGCCACCGAGCCCAACTAGTCCTACTTCCTAACGCATCCTCTACATGTCTTACCCTCTCTTCAACATTTTACATCTTTTTATTTCTTTGTATTTGATTTTGAAAAGTTTTTTTTCTCTCCTGTCCTATCTTCCAGTTCACTAATCTTTTTTCAGCTATGTCTACTCTATTAGACCCATATATTAAGTCTAGTTTTAGTTATTATATTTTTCAAATCGATGTCAACAACATTTTGAAAGGTGGAGACACAGGGGTATGAGACCAGCCAGGGCCACCTGGTGAGATCTGGTACCTACAATAAATCAAAAAATTAGCCGAGTGTGGTGGCATGTGACTGTGGTTCCAGCTATTTGGAAGGCTGAGGTGGAAGGATTGCCTGAGTCCCCCTGGTCAAAGCTGTGGTGGCCATGAGCAAATCACTGCACTCCAGCCTGGGCAACAGAGTAAGACTAACTCCAAAAAAAAAAAAATCTATATCAAATTTTATAATGTTCAATCCAATCTTCAAGTTCATCTTTTATCTTCTTGAACGTAAGAAGCATAGTTGTTTTATAATATGCCTCAAATGATCCTCATGGGCATAACTGTCTTTGATTGTGTGCTGGACATTGTATTTGAACAATTATTTATAAAAATAATCGGGCTGGGTGAGGTAGCTCACTCCTGTGATCTCAACACTTTGGGAGGCTGATGTAGGAGGATCTCTTGAGCCCAGGAGTTTGAGACCAGCCTGGGCGACCTAGAAAGACGTAATTTTCCAACCCACACAGTTGTCAAAGATGGTCGATCCTGCCTCCCCAACTGTGTTGTAAACTTGTATTTGTTTCAGCTTCCGATACCGCACCTAGCACAGGGTCAACGCACTCACAATGGATGAATGAACATTCTGGAAAGGGAGACATTGTTCACTAACAATGTCTCATCTGGGGCGATACACATGCACAGTAATCAGGAAACCTAAGTCAAAATATCTTTTCTTATTTGTACCACATTATTTGACTTTTTTTTTTTGAGTTGGAGTCTCACTCTCTCGCCCAGGCTGGAGTGCAGTGGCATGCTCATGGATATCGAAACCTCGACCTGGGCTCAGGCGATCCTTTCGCCTCGGTCTTCCAAGTAACTGGAACTACAGGTGCACACCACCATGCCCGGCTAATTTTTTTTGATTTATTGTAGAGATGAGGTCTCGCCAAGTTGCTCAGGGTAGTCTCGAATCCCTGGGCTCATATAGTTCTCTCACCTCGGCCTCCCAAAGTGCTTGGATTATAGCCATGAGCCACCGTGCCCGGTCTTAATTAATTAATTGATTAATTTGTTTTTTGAGTCGGAGTCTCACTCTGTCACCCAGGCTGGAGTACAGTGGCACACTCACGGCCACAGCAGCCTCGACCTGCTAGACTCAGGTGATCCTTCTGCCTCAGTCTTCTAAGTAGCTGGAACTACAGGCACATATTACCACGCCCGGCTAATTTTTATTTATTTATTGTAGAGATGAGGTCTCGCCAAACTGCCCAGGCTGTCCTCGAACCCCTGAGCTCAGGCAATCCTCTTACCTCCACCTCCCAAAGCGGCTGGGATTATAGGCGTGAGCCACTGCACCCACCTAGTCTTAATTTAATTTACATTAAAAAAATTTTTTTTCAGTTGGGGTCTCACTCTGTCACTCACTAGACTGGAGTGTATGATCACGGTTCACCATAGCTCGACCTCCTGGGCTCAAGCAATCCTCCTGCCTCAACCTCCCAAGTAGCTGGGACTACAGGTGCACGCCACCATGTCCAGCCTATTTTTTAATTTTTTGTAGAGACAAGGTCTCCCTATGTTGCCCCGACTAGTCTCCAATGCCTGGGCTCAGGTGATCCTCTGCCCTGGCCTGTCCAAAATGCTGAGATTACAGGATTGAGCTATCATGCCCAGTCCCAAATCTTGAAATCAACTAAAACCTTAGCATCTTAAAAATAAAAAAAAAAGAAGAAGTGCTGTTTAAACCTTCTGCTGCCTCCTCTAGATCAACAAAATTTCCCTAGAGCAAAGTGGCCGTGACTTCCAGTCCTGTCTCTCTGGATTTCTCTTCTCTTTGGTGTCTTGGTTTGATCATTTTCACCATCCTGTGAGCTCTTGAACCATTAAGTCTTTTCATTTTTTGTCTAGTTGATATAGTCGATCTCATCAAGAGGTTTGGTCCAAATTACTTGGTTCACCATTATTGAGAATAAAGTGGAAGTCTCACTACGTTCAGCATTAACACCGGCATTCATATCAACCATTTCTATACAGTGTGAGTATATAAGAAAGGCTCACAAATAACGATTTGCCTCACAGAGAAGGAATATTATGAGGACTTAAAAAAAAATCAAGTGGCGAGAACCCACAGTCAAAAATTGTTAAGTATATGAATTTAGAACATCACTGAAATTTCCCAAGTAAAAATTGATCCTGCATAAATTGTACAACGGGGGGGGGCGTCTGAGGCGCCTTTGATATCATCTTTCCTGCAAAGGCTATGAATGAAGAAATGAAAAAGCCTAAAACAGGGAGGAACAAAACATCGCCTTCATTGCTGAGGAAGAGTAGAATAAATCCCTGTGACTTCAGAACCAGACTGTCACACCCACCAACGGGACCATGGCTGGCTCACACTAAGGACGGAGAAGACCCATGAGAAATCAGATACCATCTCTTGCTCTCTGTGAGCAAGCGTCCCTGAGGAAGAGAAAGTCAGTGCTGTGCCACGAATGCTGCTATGACTCCCAAATGTATCAAGCATATCAAGTTACGCTTCCCACATTTCCCAGTCAGATGAGACATTTCTCCCCTGGAGATGAGCAGAGGGCGGAGAGAAACCTAAAGATACACTAATTCAACTCCCTTTACAAGAAAAATTAGGAGTGCGAGAGAAAGTTCCCCACTACATGTGGAGCCTTGAAGAATCCCATCATTGGCCGGGCTCAGTGGCTCAGCCTGTAATCCCAGCACTTTGGGAGGCTGAGGTGATTGCCTGAGCCCACAGGTTCGAGACCCGCCTGGCCAACTTGGCGAGACCTCATCTCTACAATAAGCTGGGCGTGGTGGCACGCGCCTGTAGTTCCAGCTACTCGGAAGGCTGAGGCGGAAGGATCGCCGGGGTCCAGCAGGTCGAGGCTGTGGTGGCCGGGAGCGGCCACTGCACTCCAGTCTGGGCCCCATCATTTAGGAATGAAGGAGAGTGAGTCTGACGTGATAATTTGGTTTTTCATTTTATTTGTTTATTTATTTAATTTTGAGTCAGAATCTCACTGTCGCCCAGGCTGGAGTGTAGTGGCACAATCTTGGCCACCACAGCCTCGACCTGTTGGGCTCAGGCGATCCTTCTACCTCAGCCTGCCAAGTAGCTAGAACTACAGGTGGGCGCCATGACACCCAGCTAATTTTTTCATTTGTTGTAGAGACGAGGTCTCACCAAGTAGCCCAGACCGGTCCTGAACCCCTGGTCTTGGGCAATCCTCTCGCCTCTGCCTCCCAAAGTGCTGGGATTACAGACCTTTGCGCCCAGCTGATGTGAGAATTTGTTATGATCATGGCTGGAGCGCTCCCCTGTCCATGCTAAACGTCATGCTCACAAGTGAGGTCTTTGATCCTGCTCTAATCAGTCGTACACCTCCATTACAGCAGAAGCCCTTTGGGGATCTTCCTGGATCTTCTCCTTGTCTTTTCTTCTCCCTAAGTATATGAAGTCAGTTCAATCTGAGTCCTCTAAAGGTCTGACTCTTGTCTGCCCTCAGAATTTCATCGTCCAGAATCTGAATACAGATTCTGCCTATTACATGGGGCTGTCGGATCCAGCGGGTTGGAGACATTGGCAGTGGGTTGATCAGACATCGTACAATGAAAGCCTCACGTGAGTACAGAATTAAAGGAGTCCTGGGTCCTGGGTCATTAAGGGAGTTCAGGTGTTCCGCCTATCAGCTGACAAACAATAAAACTCACAACAGTTTTTTAAAAACCTAGGCCTATTTAATATCAAGGGCTGTACTTGCAGCGACGTTCATGTCTCTGAATTTAAGACCAAAAAAAAATATCATCAATTAAGAGCATAATCAGGCTGGGCTCGGTGGTTAACACATGTAATCTGGCACTTTAGGAAGCTAAGGAAGGAGGATTGCTTGAGCTCAAGGGTTCGAGACCAGTCTGGACAACATAGCAAGACCTTGTCTCTATAAAGAATAAAAAAATTAGCCGGGCATGGTGGCACGCTTCTGTAGTCCCAACTACTCGAGAGGCTAAGACGGAATGATCTACTGAGCCCAGGAGATCGAGGCTGTGGTGAGGCCTGATCATGCCACTGCACTCCAGCCTGGGTGACAGAGTGAGACTCCAACTCAAAAAAAAAAGCCTGGGTGACAGAGTGAGACTCCAACTCAAAAAAAAAAAAT